TGTGTACTCTTACTAAGGTCACGTACTCACTATACTGTGTACTTTTACCGAGGTCATGCACACACTATACTGTGTACTTTTACCGAAGCCATGTACACACTATACTGTGTACTTTTACCGAGGTCATGTACACACTATACTGTGTACTTTTTCTGAGGTAATGTACACTTTACTGTGACTTTCCTTTTTGATAAATCCTATAGTTAGGGTCTGCTTGTCATGCTGTCTTAAGTTTAGACTACTAGAGGACAAATTGACCAAATTTCTTTAAATTAATTGTTAAAACTGAATAGTTTTCATTTGATACTATTTCTATCTTAACGTGTGATTCTTGACCTGCCATTGTGTATCTGTTCCTCCTTCCTGTTCCTCTCAAACCCAGCCGATCGAAGCAGCTGGCCACTTGTCCTGAGCCTGGTTCTGCTAAAGGTTTCTTCCTCATGAGGGAGTTTTTTCTTTCCACTGTCGCCTTCGTGCTTGTTCAAGATGAATCTGTGATGAAGTTAAACTCAAAGCAGTCTGCTCCACATATAAATAATATTAAATTATTATTTTATATGTGAATGTTTCTGTTCTGTGTCTTGAGACGACTTCTGTTGTGACTTGGCGCTATTTAAATAAACTGAATTAAATCGAATTGAACTGAATTGTGTGTACAAGTACTAACGTTGCAGCATCAATCAGAGGAGTCATGGCCTTGGTCCCGCCCCTGAGGTTTATCTGACAGTAATAGTTACAGATCAAAAAGGATCAACAAGTGAGGCGTACCAGAGTCTGCCAAGGAGCTGGAGGCCCAACATTCTGGTGGTAGTCCCTCATGTAGTCGTAGGACTGAAACAGGTAAAGAGCGCACAGGTAAACGTGTGGTTGTGACGTCACACTGAAAACACGCAGCTAACATGCCAACAGGTCATGACTCACCCCGTTCAGAAACGTGTCTCGTCTGACTCCAGAGAATCTCCTGCGGAGTTCAAACCAAGCTATCACTTCTTCTCAAATTATTAGCATATGTACAATGTGCTGTGGCCCCGCCCACTTTCAGGTGAGTGTTGCGATACGTCTGTGTGGCTCACCTGTCCACCGGCTGGTTCCGTAGGTCCTGGATGAACCCTGATGATGAATCAAAGCGTTAATGTTCTGCAGTCAGACACTGATGTCACCTGAATCTGAAGCAGGTAACACGCTTTTTTTAAAATTAAAATAAATTCCTGATTTAAAATGGGCTTTTAAACTTCAGCTCGTCTTCAGCTTCTTTAGACATCTGCAGACAGGTCTCTCATGAAGACAGGTCTTTCGTGACCGCTTAAAGGACACTGACTGGTTGACATGTGGTCTCTGATCCTGAAACCTGACCTGATCTAGACCAGGTCAGGTCTCCAGCAGCATGTTACCATGGTAACAGACGGGTAGAAAGTAGACCCCCTGAACATTGAAGTTTCTTTAGACACTAATACTGCCTTGCGTTTCAGGGACCTGAAAGCAAAAGGTAGTGTGTGTGTGTGTGTGTGTGTGAGGGGTCAGTTCAAAGAAAACCTCCAGGTGAAGCACCTGCTCGTTGGTTGAAGTCAAGTGGACCGTCTGCACGTGGACGCTTCCTGTTGTGGTCAAACTCTTCAGGTCGACGCCTACACGAATAGGTACACAGGTGAGACGCACTTAAATACACACACACACTCACTCTCACACACACACACTCTCACACACACACACTCACACATACGTACATAAAAACAGATGTACACAAACAAGCACACACCTGTATATACACACAGGAAACGACAGCCACAGAAATCAAATGTTCCCAATGGTTACCTGAAAACACCTGAGCTCTTATTACCTGGTTTAACTAAACCATCATATGTCGAGTTTATTACCTGGTTTAACTTATCCAAACCGTTACAAGTCTATAACCTGGATTACATAATCTAAACAGTCACATGTCAAGTTTTTAACCAGGTTTAACTACGGTAATCTAAACCATCACATTACAAGTTTACTACCTGGGCTAACTAATCTAAACCATCATGTTGAGTTTATTAACTGGTTTTACTAATCTAAACCATCACATTACAAGTTTACTACCTGGGTTAACTAATCTAAACCATCATGTTGAGTTTATTAACTGGTTGGTTTTACTAATCTAAACCGTCACATGCCGAGTTTGTAACCAAGTTTAACTAATCTAAACCATCACACTGAGTTATTACCCGATTTAACTAAACAGTCACATGTTGAGTTTATTACTTGGTTTAACTACGGTAATCTAAACCATCACGTCAAGTTTATTGCCTGACTAATCTAAATTGTTACGTGTCAAGTTATTACCAGGTTTAACAAATCTAAACTTAGCATGACAAGATTGATATATGGCATAAGTTATCTAAACTGTCACGTTGAGTTTATTACCTGGTGTAACCAATTTAAGGTACATCCCTGTGAAACTCGTGTTTGTGTGTTTTATATATACATGTACTTTTGGAAACAAGTGAAACTGTTTTGTTCCTGCAGAAACAGCTAAAGATTCAGGAATGAAGCTGCAACCAGAAGACTGATCCGCTCACCATGAGCAGAATCATTTGAAATATTTACTTGAACCTTTGATTCTCCTTGGTGGACTGAATAAAGCAACAGATTTTTGTTGTTATATTGCATGTATAACTTTGACCGGATGTGGATCAGATAACATTTAGAATAAATTAAAACTTGGTTTTATGATGAGCTTTTAGAATCATTTCACCCTAGAAATAGTTAATTAACTTTAACTAATGATTAATTAAGCAGATCTTTACGTTCATTAAAACTTCTGATTGAAACTATGACTGCTCCGTCTACGTCTTGCTGCAGAACAGGTGAGACATCCAGGGTCTGTTGCTATGACGACACACCCAGGTAAAAAGAGAACCTGGAGTTACCTGCTTCACACGGACCCCTGTCCTCATTGGTCAAGTCATAAACTGGTCCTCCTGCTGGTCTTGCAGTGAGCTCTGGATCAGAGGTGCGGCTGGTTCCACAGACCTCTGATCCAGGTTCTGGTTCTGACTCAGGTGTATTTCAGACACACTCACACACAGGAGTAATAAAGAGAAGAAGAAGGAGCCTGTGGGGGGACAACCTACCGCTTGTGTTGTTATGAGGGAGGGGACACACTTTCTAACAAACAGTTGGTCTCCTCATCAGTCCATTTAAAGCCTTTATAACGCTCTTATTTTCAAAAGGTGTGGGGGTGATGGTGATGATGATGGTGCAGTCCTGTCAATCAAT